TAAGGCATGGTACAAACTGCTGGTTTGCAGAGGTCAGACTCACGTACGTTTAGGTTGGGAATGGCTTGGGTTATGGGTGCAGTACTGTTGCTCTGATTTTCCGACATTTATTGATCACTGGGGATCTCATACAATACCGTTTTATAGTAGCATTTCCTTTTCATCAGCCTTTCGAGTTCGCACTATAAAACTTAGCGGGCGCTTGCCACATCAACTCCCATGAGATCACATCGAAATTCGATACCCGCGTTTTACATTAGGACACATGCTGTTAGTTTTGGTTAACCGTTTCCCTAAAACAACCTGCATCACAACTTACATTCTATTACCGAGTTGCTTGCTATTCAGGTGAGTGAGTGAGTTAGAGCATACGCCGCTTTTAGCAATATTCCAGCAACATCACGGCGGCGGACACAAGAAATGGGTTTCACACATTGTGCCCATGTAGGGAATCGAACCTGGGTCCTCGGCGTGACGAGCGAACGCCTTAACCACTAGGCTACCCCAGCGCTCCTCTTGTCATTCCAGGTGTAAAGGGGTAGTCTGGTTAGATGTGTAAAGTTGCATCCTTCTATATTTCTTATGCACCGCATATATCGCTGCCGGGCACGTGTATTATCTGGACAATAGTTTTCGTTCCGTCCATTTTCATTTTCAATTTAAACACGTGGTTTTGATATATGTTCCTTAAGGATCATAAACACCGCACGTCATGGATTGTTGTTTTTACACTCAGCTCAATTTGCATCTTATATAAAAGAATGAATTGTTAGCTTTTTTATGCAGGCACAAAATCATAAAGAGTGAGTGAGTGACACTGAGTTTTAGTTTCCCCCGCTTTTAGCAATATTCCAGCAACATCACGGCGGGGGGACACTAGAAATGGGCTTCACGCATTGTACCCATATGGGGAATCGAACCCGGATCTTCGGCGTGACGAGCGAACGCTTTTACCACTAAGCTACCCCACCGTCCCCAATAGCATAGTGGGTTAGTCTGGCTTTAGTTGACTACATCGGGTTTGAATCTCAATACATGTGAAGCCAATTCTCGGTGTGCTCACCTCTGATATGGTTGCAATATTACAAAAGCCTGCACACTTTAAACAAGAAAACAAACACACAACCACAATTTCTATATCTATCAAATGTACATGTATATCAATTCAATATCAATGTCAGAAATTTTGTAACGCTCTGTCTTAACATACAGAAACAGAACTTCTCAAATAGAACACTTTGAAGGTAGCCACCCAACCATATTCTCTTACCTGGTAATAGACTTGTCACAACGGTGAAAACTGGTGACAGTCAAGGACAGACTGAAATGGCTTCTGTCCTCACGTTTGCCTGGTACAACGATGATTAGAAATCGTCCCCACGATGATCACCAAGCCACGGAGTGTTTGTTGGCATTGCTAAAGTAGTTCTGTAGAACGAACCACTGCCAGATGACAAGTGCCAGCCATTCACAGAGACTTCAGTGCTGTCGCGTTCGATATCGAGCAGTTATCAAATCTGGTCCGGCGTTGAAATGTGGAATTTAAGCTCATGACGATATGATCGGCACCTTGGTGGAATATATGAAGTCAAGTGTTGGCGAAGCCTGGTTGACATAAGTGGTTGAACTGATGGTTAACATAAATGAGACCCGTGAAGAACCGGATTAGAATTGATCATCAGCAACCCATGCTTGTCGTAAGAGTTGACTAACGGGATCGGGTGGCCAGGCTCGCTGACTTGGCTGATGCTAGTTATCGCATCCCAATTGTGTAAATCGATGTTCATGATGTCAATCACTGGATTGGCTGGTCCAGACTCATTTTTTTTTTTTTTACAGACCGCCGTCATATAGCTGGAAAATTGCAGAGTTGGGCGTTAAATAACAAACAAGCAAGACAAACAAGAATGTTCCAGATAATGGTTTACTACGCACTACACTATAGCCCAGCCATCTTTAACGCCTCTAAGTATGGTGTTGCAGTAGTACAAGCTCCTCTAGTTGGAATCTACTACCCGTGGAGAACAAACTGATTTATTGGACGATTTCTTAAATCAGGATATCCAATAAGAGCTCAAATCCCTGGTCATTTTAGAGTGAGTGAGTTAGTGGGTTGGGTTTTACGCCATTTGAACAATATTCCAGCAATATCACGGCAGGGGACACCAGAAATGGGTTTCACACATTGTACCCATATGGGGAATCGAACCTGGGCCTTCGGCGTGACGAGCGAACGCTTTAACCACAAGGCTACCCCACCGCCCCTGGTCATTTTAAAAGGTCGCCACAGCAAGTGTGACAAATGACCGCTTGTGTGAACTGTAACGACCCTGGTGTAGAACTATACCCTGGATGTATGAACTATACCCTGGATGTATGAACTATACCCTGGATGTATGAACAATACCCTGGATGTATGAATTATATCCTCGTCGTAGGTGTATGAACAATGAAATTTCTATACGTGTGTGAGTTATAACATCGCCCCTAGATGCATGCACTATATCCTGGGTGTGTGAACTATACAACCCCTTGTGAATAATAACGTCCCCTGGGTCTATGAACTATAGCCTCCCCTGGCTTTATGAACTATAGCCTCCCCTGGGTCTATGGACCATAACGTTCCCTGGGTCTATGAACTATAGCGTTCCCTGGGTCTGTGAACTATAGCGTCCCCTGAGTCTATGGACTATAGCGTTCCCTGGGTCTATGGACTATAGCGTTCCCTGGCTTTGTAAACTATAACATCCCCTGGATCTATGGACCAGTATCCTCCCCTGGCTTTATGAACTATAGCGTCCCATGGTCTATGGACTATAGCGTTCCCTGGGTCTATGGACTATAGCCTCCCCTGCCTTTATGAACTATAGCGTTCCCTGGGTCACTGAACTATAGCGTCCAATGGTCTATGGACTATAGTTTCCCTCGGATATATGAACTATAGCGTCCCCTGAGTCTATGAACTATAGCGTCCCCCTATAAACTATAGCGACATCGGTGCATGAACTATAGCTCCCTTGGATATATGAACTATAGCTTCCTCAGTCTGTGAACTAAAGACCCTCCCTGATGTATGTAATACAGAGGGTATGGATGACACCGACCCATGTAACGAGACACCCGGTGTCTGGCTGCTTCATGAAGAGAACCGCTGACAGAAGTGATATATCAAAAGATCGCGATATTGTTTCTCTCATTCAACTAAAAGCCTAACGGTGTATTGTAAATGATGAATTAGTGAAATGATCCTCGTCAACAGTGAGGTGGCACATCTGATATGATGAATAGGGAAACGTGCACACGAAGTAACGTAAGCATTGGATGAAACCCATTGAATATCAACAATACTTCCGTCAGGGTGACAAGATGGTCGTTTAAACAATTTCCTGCATTAGTTTCGGCTAACTCTTTGTTATATCTGCATTCTTCTCTGGCACTAGAATCATAGCCTTCATTGAAATGACCTTTGTTCTGCGCCAATGTCACCAGGGTATCGTTGTGAGTGTGCAGTATTATTGTAATTAGTGCCATGTCGCCGCTGTAGTAATCCATGGCTGTAGTTATCTCATCACACAGGACCAGTCGGCAGTGTACAGACAGCTTATCCGAAAACTCGGCCTTTCATTTCTCTGTGAAACACATTTACAATATTTGGGTGTGTTGTTAGAAAATGTATTTGCATTATTAAGATATCTATAGTTCTCACGATATATTTTTCTCAAGAAATGTAGGTTTTCAGACACGTATCCACATGTGGTTCTTATGGCACATTCTTCTCCAGGCTTCAACACGTGTAGCTCTTAAAACATGGTGTTATTACGATACCCAGGCTTTAATACTTGTAGCTCTTAAAACATGGTGTTATTACGATACCCAGGCTTTAATACTTGTAGCTCTTAAACATGGTGTTATTACGATATCCAGGCTTTAATACTTGTAGCTCTTAAACATGGTGTTATTACGATATCCAGGCTTCAACACATGTAGCTCTTAAAACATGGTGTTATTACGATACCAGGCTTTAATACGTGTAGCTCTTACAACATGGTGTTATTACGATATTCAGACTTCAACATATGTAGCTCTTACAACATGGAGTTGCGTGTTACAGAAATACATTTGAAACAGTCAGAATGTAATAACCAAACGTCTGCCGTATGTCATATATACAGCTTAGGTAAGGCTCTGTTTATCTGTGTTTATCTGAACTGTGTTTTAACGTCACCTTCATACTGCACTCATATGGTGATGAGCATACAGGTGTTTGGTTGTGGGTGAGTGAGTGAGTGAGCAAGTGAGTTTACGCGGCTTTTTTCAGTATTCCAGCAATATCACGGCAGAGGACACCTGAAATTGGCTTCACACTTAGTACCCATGTGGGGAATCGAACCCGGGTCTTCAGCGTGACGAGCGAACGCTTTAACCACTAGGCTACCCCACCGCCCTGTGTTTGGTTGGTGTTACTGGTCCAGGCTGATGTCGGTAGTTAAGTGAGAGTTCACTGAGGTACAATATCACTGTTGTGTCATGGACAGTCGGACACATACTCAGAGACGAAGGTCCCTTTTGAGAATCACTGTAATACCGATCGCCAGACAGGGTCCCTTTGAGGAACGGGCACTGGACGTTAATCCTTCCCAGAAGTGGAGCCACTGCGATTTGACGCCCTGATCCACAGACAACTGGTCTCCTGTGACAATCATGGACAACAGGAATGTCAGTCACTGGGTTGCTCAGAGGTCTTTACCCGTGAAGGTTGGGGTTAGAATTGGCCTTCAGTAACCCACGCTTGTCATAAGAGGCGACTAACGGGATCGGGTGGTCAGGCTCGCTGGCTTGGTTGACACGTCATCGGTTTCCAATTGTGCAGATCGATGCTCAGTTGATCATTGTATTGTCTGGTCCAGAATCGATTATTTACAGACCGCCGCCATATATTGCTGAGTGTGGCGTAAAACTAAACTCACAGAGGTGACAGAAAAAAAGAACAAAACACTGAGTGAAACATTCAAATTTGTACTCCACATGAAGTGCTTACAGGAAATGATGTTCTACAATTAAGACACGATACAATGAGACATGGGTATTGTGGAACATTATGTAGAGAGCAATCATTGACAGTTGTAGACCATGCAACACAACAGCATAGACAACACTGTGCCATGAGAAGGTCCGGAGGATGAGGAGGAGGAGGAGGATCACAGGTCAGTGACAGTAACATGAAAATACAGCAATGAGATTGTCAACTCATGCCTTTACCAGATGTCGCTCTCCACATCCTGCCCCTCTGACATGCAGGGTCATGTCCTGTCACATGTCCCGATCCATTCCTCATCCCCACCTTCTCCACCCCATCCGTAGCATAGACCCAACATGCCACAGGCTGTCCATGCTGGCGTTGCACCGTCATCTGATGTACCTGATGATGTCTTCAGATTGTGCTGCGTGGAAAATAGATAGTTACAAGAACATATGAACATCTCTTCAAATATATAACTGATATGATCTGTATGTATCTGCGGGAGCACACAAGCCAATGATGTAACAAACAGGAGATCATCAGATGCAATGTGTACAGCCGGTCCAACAATGTACGCGTCTCCAACAGAGTAGGAAGTCAAACAGAAACGGAAAGGTACACGCCTTGATTGTTCAGAAGTGTACAGCCATCAAAACCTTACTGCTATTACCGAGTCTTAAAGGTGGCCATGGATCCCTAAATAAACATGCCCCGTTCTACTCACTCACCCCCTCAACCCCACAGTCAGGGTTCTCAATAGTAATGAATTTTGTACACGGACAAATCCCTTATAAAAATTGGCTGAGCTGTTTTGATAGAAAATTGAATGCTTTTCTCAGTTGTTCCTTTACATATAACAGTAATGTTATGATGGCTCTACAAAACAGCAATATAGATATGTTGCACACCTTTCAATCTACAATTGTCACATAATAATAAAAGAATATTTACACAAATTTGACATCAACTAGTTCATTAAGTCTAATAAAACAATAAACAAAGTCAACATTATAATGTAATTCATTCATATAGGACTTTTGATACCAATTTCATAAACAAATGTATAAGAATAAACACATGAAGACTATCAACCTTGTTCATGATGCTAAGTGTGACCCAGTGTTTCTAGCAGTCTTCTCCATCGAAATTACACAAGCATAGGACTAGCTGTTGTACTTCCTCTAGTAGTGGTGTCCTGAAGAGAGAGGGGTGTACAGAACCACTGTTGGGTGGGTACAGGCTACATCAATTCAGGCTGTAGGTGTCAGCTGTCAAATGCTTCATAGTGATCATGTCAGCAAGCAGCTTGACAACCTCCTAAAGTGAAGCCTTCTTCGTGTGAGGTTTACACACACACACACACACACACGCCAGAGGATGGTGGGAACAGAAATACTTTAAATGGGGACAGATTACCTGGGTCTGTACCATGTTTTGAGACATGAACTAATATTTTTCTTACAATATCACTGAATCTATTTTTGCAATTGTATTGCTGATCTTTACACATTACATAATATGTTAAGTAGTTGCCAAATGGATCAAACAAACATCACAGCAGCTAGATTTGATAAATTTCTTGACCCCTCTAAAAGTCTGAACCACTATCATCCTGGCCACACCACCAGTGGGCAGTGATTGTTCCCAGGTGATCCCATACTGTCACCACCCTCTGTCACACCAACCCTCCAACCACTAACAACACGGTGTGATTGTCCTCCACCCTGATGACTGACCCCTCACACTGTACTCCTGTTGCGATCTGCCTATGCTTATATTTTTACCTACAATGCAGTCCTCGTATATCCTAAACATGTTCAACGCATGAAGCAATCATCTTTGGGTCTACTACTAGTATTCTGAAGTAATCATATTCTGATTAGCTTTTACAAAAAACAAAGTTCAAGTCTAGAAACTCTAAAGCACTTCTATGAAGTTTCATAATTCATAACATACAAAATACCAACACAGACAACTCATCCACCGTATCTAAAATACATCATGGTTTAACAAATTTACCATACAAAATAAATCTGTAACAAAAAACGTTGCTCAAAAACATTGCTAGTGGTAACATCTGCAGTGGACACGAGACTACGTACAGCAGAGAAGAAGAGTCTTGGTAACAATGGAAACATATCTGGCCATGCATATAATAGAGAGAGACTGCAATAACAATAGCACGTGACCATTTGCAAATCTATTATCTGTCACACATTGACACCATGTCTGTGGAGGGACTGACAAGTTGGTATTCACACCTTAGTTTCATAATTACTAACGACCCTGCACCAAAAACAGGCTGTATTCAAACTCAAAATATTTCTTTCTTTCTTGACTATACTGTCTCTTAACCAAATATCTAGCAATTTTATTTGGAGAATATTTTTGAGAAATTGTTATGAATTCCTTTCAGAGAAATCTGACCATTTTCGTACCAGTGTTGGTCCAACAGCACTACCATTTGTTGCATGTTTCTGCCAAATCTTATTACTTGAAGGCTTCAGAAACAAATCTTTTATCATTGGTCAATCTTGTTACGAAATCAAAAAGAGAACAATGGACCTTTCATTTCAACAGAAGCTTGCAAAAAACCCAATTAGTTAAGAGCTGTTTTCCTCACAAATACAATGCAATATGACCTGACTTACCAACTTCATTGAATAGAAATCAAAATTGCAAAAGAAACCTACAGCATCAGAATCTGCCAACTTGTTTTGTTGTAACACTACTGGAGGTTTTCCTCTTTGCTTTAAACAACTGCAAAATGCCTGCACAAAGAAAAGATAACAGTTCAACAGATGCTTTCAGCAACAATTCACATGAAGACAATTAGCATGAGCAGCATTGATGGAGACTCCAGATGCTGGTGAACACACATACATTTGTATGACAACTGATTCCAAGATCAAATCATCTAAAGGATGCAGAACAACAATCAAGAAAACATAGCATGAAAATTAATGTGGGCAAAAGGAAATATATTCATATGTTTGTAAATATGCTGACTTGCAGTCTGGTATATCAGCCCCAAACAGCTGTTTTAGCAGGTAGTACATTCTGACAGAGCACTGGCCCTAGACATTACCATGACCTGATCTGCCTCACCACAACACTGTTGTCATTACCAGTGGACTAAACCAAATGAAATCCAGGATTTTTGTTCCATTTTCAGAAAGGTCTGTTATTTGGTTCGACATGTACCATTGTATACCGTCAAAATGAATTCATTTCTGTCAATGAGATTGTTTACAGTGTGCAATGAAGACGTATGCAAACCCAAGGGTTAGCTTCTATGTGTAAATGATTAGGAGTGTAACCATGGTTACAAAATCTAAGAGTTAAATATCTACACAAAACACAATAGAAATATAGTGAAATGATAGCATGTTGGATGAAACTTGAAACACTCAACTAATACAGGTATTTACATGGTTGAAAACAATGCCATTTGACACACCTTAACCGGAATTATATGTGAAATGTCTTGAAAGTGGATAGTGTTATTTCCCCTTCTTTCTATGACCTGTTGAAGTTTCTTGATTGGTCAGTTAATGTCAATACAAAACCATACAAAAACTGTTTTGGAACATCCAGCCTTTTGGCAAACTCCTTTTCATGATATAGCAATACTAGTGAAACATGTCTGCTTCAACCTGCTCTATGAGACATGTCCTGACAGATCTGATAGAAGCTTCAGATGACATGAAAACAAAGGGAGATAACTCCACTTTCCCTGACATAACCATTGATTGTGAATAACAAAATGCACAATGGAAGTGTAACATGTCTTTAGCGATCAGTTGTCTTGTTTCTGCTTACACAAATCAAACCAGTGACTGAGTCACATCATCAAAACTCAAATTACAGCCTTTGAGAGGTGGACGACTAATTTAACAGCTTCTTTTCTTTCCTTTTTTGAGAATGTATACAGTGTGAAGCTAAATACATTTTTTCGCACCGTTTTGGAACTATGAACATGATAAAGAGTACTCTCTTGCTACCATTTCAATACTTGGTCGAAGTGGTCTTGTCTCTCTGCTGGCCCTGAACAAGCATATGGAGAACATGGGTAAGACTAGAACAGACATCAACTTCCTGTTTCCTGTATTAAGGGTTTGAGAATGTTTACAAGTTCTCAGATTTTCTTCAAAATGACTTATCAATAACAAATTTCATTAAGACAAACAGCAAACAGTACACTTTAGATTGAGAAGGACTAGGTTAGTGTGCAGTGGTAAAGAGGATAACAGTAGAACTGTTTGAAGAAAGTTACCCTTTACATATTGAAAACATTGAAATAGCCTTAAAATGTGTATTGAAATTAGTGTACTGTGATTAAGTAGTCAAGTATAGACTGGTGAACTAACTCTGAACACAGCCGCTATCATCCACAGAACATTCAACATCCACAATATAACAAGCATGTCCTTGACCTTCAGCCAGAGCAGACTCAAGGTCAACAACATGGCTGACCTTGACCTTGATCAATCTGACCCACGGTCTAGGTTCAATCCTGTGACGGAAAGTTATAACATCACAAATCTATCTCTTTCTACAATCAACTAGAACAGTCTTGAGCTGAAAATTAAAATATAGAATAATTTGATCATTGATATATATCGGAGGGAGGGAGGGACGAGATGCATAATCCTGAAAACAGGCGATCATCTGTTAAACTGTTTGTTACTTAAATACTCCACAGTTACAGTTCTGCTCTTAAATCTTCAGTGACGCTGTACCTTGTGGTAAGCTGGGTATAAGGTGGCTATTCTGAATTGGTCCAAAGTTTGCTAAAGTAGAGGCTGGAGATAAAAAGACTTTCGAGATCCAGGGAGCAGAGACCACGAGACCTTCTGTGGCATCTCAACTCTAAGACACTTGTGGGACTAAAGCTTTCTCAGTTTGTTCTTCACGTACGGCTTTGTGAGACTCTACAAGAAAATCTACACTTATCAGTACTGTTCCCAGCAAATCCTGCCTACAGAGTTCTTGCTAACCACTGTAAACAGTTGTATAGTTATTCATATCTCCCTACCAGGACCGGGATATAAACTGTATCAAGTTCCACATGCACCAGAAAGAGACTGATCATGCTACAGCATCCCGCAAAACAAAGCTTTGTTAGTTACCAGATCATTACAACGACCTGGATTGACAAACATAGTATTTTCAATTTGGGTATAACCTTAGCTTCATGACGAATGAATCATATTCTAACAGAACCTGGGGTCTCTTTCACTCCAAGGTTCTCCCTCAGAGCTAATAACATTTGTTGACCATTAAGGGCACTTTCCAGAGTGGAACAAGGTAGTTGGTCTTCGGCTGTGAGACTTTGGTAGTGTTGCTGAGGCCGGGGACAATGGCCTTCCGATGAATTGTTGAGGTGATGTCTTCCTTTGGCTGCTGACTCTGACACTTTCATACCTGTCTCACAGACACTTGCACAGCACTTGTTCTCTATGGTACACTGGGGATAGTCTAACTAGTGAATACATTCTGTATTACCATCAAGCACTGTTGTAATTAAGGCATACAATTCAAGAAAAATCTTTTAACTACATAAATTTCAATAACTTCATCCTTGGTTGTGGAGAGAGAAAGATTTGACCATCTATCAAAAGAATTCCCCTTGTTTCAATCAATAATAAATTCTGTCAGTGGAAATATATCAGGATGGAACTTTCAGTTAGACCTCACACCAGTGCTATGAAGACCTAACAATATGAATTCACCAGGCTGCCTACCACAGGAATGTACTCACTGTATCTGGAAATACATTGGTGATTATGTTCTGGGCAAGATAATAGTTGCCAAGAACTAACCATAATTGTTTTAAGGACAAACGTGTAAAGAGGAGTAGCGTCAACTGAGTAAATGACTGTATTTTAACACCAGGGCTAATTTAGTGGCAATTCAACACAAGAAGTGTCTGTATCCACCAAGGGTTTCTCTAGTAAGTAAAAGGCATTGTTTTGTGAGATGAACTTTTGGTGAACTCCTTTCACTATATCAGATCTGTGAAATCAAACATACCAGCTTTCAAAGAATCCTCACTTGTACAAAAGCTATTGATGTAGAAATTCAATAAAGACTATTACATTTCAAAATCACTAAAGTTCATCAGTGACATGTTCAACACAGCAACGATAGGTATATCCGGATATCCATAGCAAACTGACAGAGTCAACAAGTGGTGGTAGTATCGCCTAGGTTGTAATGATACGAAGGTATGCCTGACCTGATACACTGACATACAAGGGCTTAACTCTCCTCTGCTCAAACACCAAAAGGAAATAAGTGGCATTATCACACTGTATTCAAATTTGTAGCAGCAGTAGTGTAGGTAACAAGCACCTTGTATGGCAATAGATGTCGTAACCTAACGAGTATCGTAACCTAGGAGACACAGTAAGAGGGCTGTGCTGCAGCCGAGGGTCACCGGTGGCAGAGGATGTAGTGTCTGCCATGATGTCACAATGGAAGCAGCAGCAGCAGCAGCAGCACAAACACCCATGATGATGCATACAAGATTGGCTTTGGTTTCTGCTGTAGTTGTCCGTCTCTTCGCCAAACCTACCTTACACATTCTGTCCAGATATACCCCTGACAAGTCACATGATGGTTGCTGAGGATGATCACGGGTTAATAATCATCTCAATATGAAAAATGAAGGATGTGACCTTGTCAGTGGAAAAGAAATACAAGTATGCCTGACAAAAGTGGTTCCATCCCCTTCCCACTGCAGCTGGTGCTTGCAGTAGCCTCCCTCGATGTATTTATCCTATGTATGTCTCCTCATCCTCATTCAAACTGTGCAAGATAGGCGCGATATCCTGCTTCTTGGTACTGCCGGGCAGCCTCTGCTGGGTCTGTTGCCTTGGTGATGCCACGCCCAACTATGATGATGTCCGACCCTCTGTTGGTGATCACCTCAGTGGGGGTGATGTAGTTCTGGCCAAGGCTGTCCTGGCCTTCCGTTAACTGCACCCCTGCAGAACATCACATTCACATCTAAATCTAACACTACAAATATTAAACAACACAATGGTGGATAGAACAAGTATATATGGATGACAACTTCTTTTATTCTAGAGCACGACGTTTCGATACAGGTTCTTGTATCGAAATGCCATGCTCTAGAATAAAAGGAAGTTGTCATCCATATATACTTGTTCTATCTGACTTCCAACTTCTAAACATGCCACTCACAGAAACACAATGGTGGTGTGTCAGATGCAGGAGGTGACCCGACACATGATATCGGGTCACCCATTAAGACCACTGGGACCAGAGAGGTGCCTGTTGTGGAAAGCAGGGACCAGGTCAAGTTTACAAACTGCACTGACAATCATGTCACAACACATGCTGACAATATGGATAGTAATGATGGTAATCACATACAAATTAAATGACAAAACTAACATGTTGTTCAACTTAGTAAAATATGGTTTAATGTATGCTGCAGATTCTATCTTACTAATAGATACTATAAACAATCACAACCAGCGCACCAGTGGTTAAAATCACAAGGGTGAGGTGAGGTGAAATTGGGTTTAACGTCGTGCTTGAGAATATTTCGCTCATATGACGATGTGCATGCGTGTGTATGTGTATGTGTGGCTGCTTGTACTAGCCCAGACTTAAGCTGGTTTTATAGTGCTAGCCCACTGAGATACCATGCCTCAGTGAAGCATGAACACCCCACTCAGACACATTATACTGACTCCGAGCCGACCAGTCCTTGTTGTACCCATTAATGCCGAGCGCCAGGCAGGGACCAACAAGTAAGATATTTTGATTTCTTTTGGTATGACGTGGTCGGGGATTGAACCCACGACCTTCCGCTCTCCGGGGCAGATGCTCTAACCACTACACCACGGAGGCGGTCAAATCACAAGGGGAAAGTACAACGGGGAAAGTTCTATGGATATACAACTCACATAGATTTGGTGTTCTTTAGTTCTAACAGGGAGGGGTCATGTATATGTAAGCAGTACTGTACATCACTTGCTTGATAACGGTGTTAGCACCTACACCAAAACATTGCTTACATTGACAGGTAAGAAGCTGTATAACCATAGAACGCTCCCCATTGTTCATCACACCAATTTCTAAATGCCAACGAAAGAAGTTAGGCTTGAAACTGATTCCTTACCTAATACTGTCTCATTGTTACAAACCATTGCTGGTTGAAAATTGCATAAATATATGTGTATGATTCTGTTTCAAACCAATGGTTAAGGATCGCAAAACCAATTTCCATATAGCTATAGTTACAGTAAATGGGTGTCTTTACCTGGCGTCATGTGTAGAAGGCTTGGGTCAGATGTGAGACGAGACTGACAAATAAACCCAATGACAAAGTCACTGTGCTCCTCAGCCATCTTTACAGTCGCTGCAAAACAAGAAACACCATTGTAGACAGAGTGGCCCTAGAGGTTCAGATCAGTACCTGGAAATCTTTCAGAATTCATGCTTAGGTTCCAGCACTGCACACCATACAAGGGAAAAATTGTAAGAGTTATCTGTAACATACCTGAAGAGTAGTCTCCCTTTGCTAGATTTCCTGTTGAGCTCATCTCTGCAATTAAGACACAAGCTCTGTTCTTGCTTAGTCCCACCTGCAACATGATAAACTTGGGATAAGACATTGCGAGCCCAAAGTCACACAACCTGTAAATATGTCAGTTATAAATTCTCATATCTTGGCTCCAAACTCACAAGTCAGATGAGACAGCCCATAAGTTGCAGTTGTAAAGTTTTCCTAACCTGAACACACTCTAGTTAAGTCAACTTGAAACATGGTATGTTCTGAGACTTAGTTGGAACAAAATAATGCATGCCTTGCCCTACAGTGGTACAGCCTGAGAAATTTCAAGGATGTTTCCAGGGTATTGTGGGAATCTTAAAATGATACATCAAGAGAACTCATCCCACAAGCACAAGCTTAACTCTATCTATCCCAACCTTACTTCACTCTGGGCAAACTGTGTATTTGCCTTTTAGGGATAAATATCACCAGAAAATAATTACTAAGAATATAGTAAGTTTAGTTTTACGCTGCACTCAACAATATTCCAGATATATGGCGGAGGTCTGTACATAATCGGTCTGGACCAGACAATCCAGTGATCAACAGCATGAGCATCGATCTACGCAATTGGGAACCAATGACATGTGTCAACCAAGTCAGCGAGACAACCCGATCCTGTTAGCTGCCTCTTACGATAAGCATGGGTTACTAGGGCTGTGTAATATTACCGGTAAACCGGTGTATACCGGTACAGTATCTCACGATACGATTATCGCGATATGCTCAGATTCTGCAATATATTGGGTCATCCAGAGTTAGCTCTCTTTGAATTATCTGCCCTTATTTTCCATAGTAACAAAATGTGCTTGGGAAACTGCCAAACATACTCTTATTTATGGTGGTTTCATGTAACATTTTACAAGTGGGAGTATCTTTATAAGTGGCTCCAAAAGTGCCAAATATTCTACTAAAGTTTTGTGGATTTCGATGGTTTTACATGTGACATTTTGGAGGAATTCAGTGGCTCCAAATGGACCAATTTATTATTTGAACTTATCACTAGATCTAGAGCCTCTGGCTCTGAGTAACCATTTCACAATTCATATTTATTTTTTGTTTGTTTCATACTTGGACATGTCATAAATTTATCATAAAAGCCTAAATCTTATAAATTCTGTAGGACTGTATAATGACAGTCAAGGATCTTAGTTACTGGAGGTCACATGAGATTTTAAGATAATATAAGAAAAACTTTATTGTCCCGCAAGGGAAATTTGTTTTACATTCAAAGAGCCAATACAAGCATATAACAACAAATAATTTAAAGTATATATACACAATGCCAAGCTTATCAGGATATAATGTTGAATTATAACATAATCAAAGTTCATGATATAATAATCACTCATGCCTCATCATAGATTTCACTATTACAGTTTTGGAGGAAGATTTAGAAGTTTTATGCTGTATGATTTTGAAGTTCTATCAGTTTTGTAATACATGATTTTGAAACGGCGGCCAGAAGGCAGAAGTTCATAACATTCATTTAAAAAGTGTGATGGATCCAATTGAATGGCCAGAGCTTTCTTCTTAACTTTTGACTCATATTGAAAAGGTAGAGGTTCGAATTTGAAGCCGCAAATTTTGCTTGATATGTTTACAATTTTGTCAAGTTTGTATTTCTGTGTAAGAGGAAGATTGCCATACCAGGCATAAAAGCAGAAAATTAAAATACTATTAATGAATGTTTGGTAGAATAATTTTAAGATATTAGTGTCTACATTAAATGATTGCAATTTTCGCAGAAAGAAAAGCCTCTGTTGTGCTTTCTTATGTACACGATGTGAATTTGATTTCCATGAAAGTTTATTATCAATGATAGTACCCAGATATTTATACTCTTCTACTGTTTCTACTTCCTGTCCATCAATACAAACAGGTTTCAGTTTGTTTTTTCCGCTTCAGAAGTCAATTATCATTTCCTTTGGGTTTTTTATGTTCAGGGAGAGGAAGTTGTTTTTGCACCATGAAGTAAATGCATCAATATTTTTCCTATACACTAACTCCGATTGACGAATAAACCCAACCAAAGCGGCATCATCAGCAAATTTGAAATTCAAACAGGTGGATAAATGAGATATACAGTCATTTGTATAGAGTGTGAAGAGGACAGGGGACAGGACACAGCCTTGAGGAGCACCGGTACTCACAAGATTAATGTCAGAAAGCGTTGAATTGACCCGAATACGTTGAGGTCGGTTAATTATGAAGGCCTCTACCCACTTGATTGTGTTACTATTTACTTTCATGTTGAATAATTTCCTTATCATCAAATGTGACTGGATTGTGTTGAAAGCAGAGGAAAAGTCTGCAAAGAGGATTCTTACATAAGATTTTGAATTCTCTAGATGAGTATAGATCTTAAGTAACAGTGAAATGAGTGCATCTTCCACCCCGCGCCCGGCCCTGTAAGCAAATTGTAAAGGATCCATTTAATGTCCAGTATTTTGCTTAATTAAGTTCAAGATAATTCTCTCAAAGCATTTCATGATTATTGGAGTAAGAGCCACTGGGCGGTAGTCATTAATTATTTTGACTTTTTGGGAACAGGGATTATATGCGAGATTTTCCATATTGTTGGTATATAATGGGCATCGACAGACATCTGAAACATCACAACATTCTCGTAGTGCAATGCCAGGTATTCCGTCGGAGCCGATTGATTTCCGAATATTAATCTTCCTACATGTTAGCATCACTTCAAGGTCGGTGATTACTAAATTATCATCTTCTGGTAGGCTTTGAATTAAGGCATTTCTTGTCTGAGAGAAGTTATGTACATCAAATCTTGAGTAGAGCTGATTAAGAGATAAGATTATTTCTGATAAGCTCAAGTAGTTCACCTAAATCATGTTTTTGTTTCATTTTACAATAGGTCATGTTAACACACGTTTATATTGGAGTTGAATCTGAATGAATCACTGACATACAGTAACAATAATTACATAAAACAAATAGAAGTGCATTCTGTTGAAGCAAACCACACTGACCATGAACATCATGTTGTACTATTACCTTTATCATTATGTTCGTAAAACTCTGTTGCAGTACTTCAATTAAACATTCCACATTAAGGCTCTATATCATTTTATATATCTGTTAACCATTGGCACACAGACATACACAATGGGGACGGGGAGCTTGAAAAGTAGGGTGTAACAGCAACTAAGAAGATGATGTTGCACACAGTGAGCTATTATGAATTCATGATGTACACACTTGGGTAGAAACCTTCCAGTCAATATATCATAATATGTATTGCAACATCTCTTAAATTATTGCAGTATATCCCAATATGAGAATCAGGGCAATAGCCAGTCCTATGGGTTACTGGAGATCAATTCTAACCTGGATCTTCATGGGTCAGAATATTATAATAAACATATAACATCACAACAATATGAACCCTGGTAGCAGATCTTTGATAGTCAAAGGAATATGCATTCTAATGGAACAGTTTTGCATGCAACTTTAAGCATATCATAGAGCACAGGACAGAAATGCTGCAACCGATGACTTCAGGACTCGAGACACTGAACCATGTTGAGATGCTGACCTGCTTGAGTCCCTGTATGACTCCCTCCCCCGGCACCGAGTGGGCGTTTGTGATGTTGGCCCAGTCGGAGATGCGGTACATGCCCCCACTGTACTGGCTCAATACTGTGCTGCCAATGTCAGCAAACTTCCTGCAAACACAACAGGCACTGTTACTCAACCATACTGGACATAGAAGACATTAACAAGCACCTGCTGGAAGGTTCAGAAATAGGGGGAAGTGTGAACTTCTCATACACCTCCATGTCACCAAATAAGGGAGGTGTGTCAAACATGCAAATTACCATGTTAGTCTACAAGTCTCACTGTCTACTGTAACATTTCTATTGTCTTGGACTGTTTGAAAAGAGCATTAAATTTCAGTTACTCGAGAATACTGAGAACCATTAGTAAAATATCCCATGGTGATTCAGTGTTTAGAAGAGTGGTAGCACCCAAACTTTACAAATGATCAATGTCAGATGTAGACCAGAGAATGTTCAGTGGAGGAGGGCCAAGATCACAATTACAATAAGGCGGCATGTACGATATTGAACTCTTCATATTGGTCAACCAATACCCTGCTGAGTGAGTGAGTGAGGAGTGAGTGAGTGAGTGAGTGAGTGAGTGAGTAAGTGAGTGAGTGAGTGAGTGAGTGAGTGAGTGAGTGAGTGAGTGAGTGAGTGAGTGAGTTTAGTTTTACCCCGCTCTCTGCAATATTCCAGATATATGGCGGTGGTCTGTAAATAACCGAGTCAGGACCAGACAATCCAGTGATCAACAGCATGAGCATCGATCTGCACAATTGGGAACCGATGTCATATGTCAACCAAGTCAGCGAGCCTGACTAACCAATCCCGTTAGTTGCCTCTTACGACAAGCATGGGTTACTGAAGATCAATATTCTAACCCGGACCTTCACGGGTCAATACCCTGTTGAACCTCAGTGTGTCGCAATACATGACAAAAGTCCCTACCTGTCCTCAAAGATGAGGAAGTTGTGTTTCTGTGCTAGCTCTGTCAGTCTCTTGGTAAACTCAGGTGTGAAGTCCTCCAGAATGTCCACATGGGTCTTCACAAGGCACACGTGGGGCCCCACACGGTTCACCAGCTGAAACCAACAACCAACATTCTCAATCAAGCTCAGACATCTTGGGTCTCTGGGGGGTAAGAAAACCCAGTGTGGAATAACAGGTACTGCTTCCACACTAAAGAGTAGATGGCAACTTGATGACTGATGAGAATTAGTGTAATGGCCATTTGGAGTTTCTGTAATGATGCAGTAAGATAATCAACACCTTTAATATTTCTAAACATAAAGTGAATGAGTTTAGTTTTACGCCGGACTCAGCAATATTCCAGCTATATGGCGGTTCTAAACATAAAACATTATGTCACATGTATGTGATATATCATCCAATATACACTAGATCATATTTCTATTTCACACGTCACCTGTCATGTCATCAAATGTTCACACATGACCTATAATGTTCACACGTCACCTGTCATGAGACCTATTTCATCAAATGGTCACACATGACCTATAATGTTCACACGTCACCTGTCATGAGACCTATTTCATCAAATGGTCACACATGACCTCTATGGCTCTAATGTTCACACATCACCTGTCATGTGACCTATTTCATCAAATGTCCACACATGACTATAATGCTCACACATGTCACCTGTCATGTGACCTATTTCATCAAATGTTCACACATGACCTATTTCATCAAACGGTCACACATAACCTATAATGTTCACCTGTCACCTGTCATGTGACCTATTTCATCAAATGGTCACACATGACCTATAATGTCCACACATATCACCTGTCATGTGACCTACTTGACCACATGGTCACATGTCACCTGATACTATACCTAACTGTGTACCCACCTCCAGGACCTCGCCACAGCTGGTCAGGTCGGCAGACACAGCCAGGTTACTCTTCTTGGTCTCCATGATCTGAAGGAGCAGACAGGGTTGGTGCACAGGTTACTCTTCTTGGTCTCATCATGATCTGAGACAAAACACAGAGGAGCTGCTTGCTGACAGGGTTGGTGCACAGACTGGATGATCTCTGTCTCACCAATATCTCAGTGAACCTGTAACACACATCAGTGTCAGCCACTTGAGACAAAACACAAGACTGGAGCTGATCTAAACATACCTCACCAATATCTCAGCTACCTCACCAATACCTCAGCAGAACATACTAACACAGACTGGAGCTGATCTAAACATACCTCACCAATATCTCAGCTACCTCACCAATACCTCAGCAGAACATACTAACACAGACTTCAACAGAAGCTCCAAGAAGCCATAGAAGTACAACAATACCAGCCTGCCATGAACTGTGACCAGGGCATTCATTTGCCAAGTGTTGGGAACTCAATGTTGTTATTTCCTGTGTTGTTTCAGTTTGCCATGTTGACTAATCCTATCGGTACCATCTATCAATCAACAACCCCGGACTTCAATGAATTACCTGGCCTCTCAGTACAGCCCTTGCTTTGTTATATTAACTTGGTTTATGTTACTATCCATTGTTGTCTTGTTATGTACATTGTTCACAGAGTATATATAACAGACTATGCACTATGTATCAATAATCATAGGGTTATCAAAGCAGGCTCTCTAGCAGGTGCCATGGGGATTCTCAAACATACCACATCATGTTTATTTGAGCGGGTGTGTTTACAACGTGTGACATGGTGTTTGTGAGTCACAGTACCCCATCTTCGCTCGTGTCGTCAACCACTGTCTTCCCAACCATGACTAAATCATTTACAGGCCATTGTGATAGAGGCCATATTAGTGGACAGTGTATACCATTATCTACTCATCATACAAACACAAACCACTTGGCAATCTAGCAGACCAAGATTTGCATCTCAACACTATATTACTATCATCAAGAATGGTCTAACTGAACTGTTATTGACATTATGTTGTTAACTGTTGCAGTCAATACTATTCTTGACAGATGCCTGCAGAATGTTATGACCTGGATACAAAGATATACAATCAGATACGGTACAGAGCCTTAAAACCTCAACCAGTTATATTGCCTATTACAACAATCAATCAAATCCTGGAGCTCCAACCCATTGTCTCCATGGCCACCTCAACTTCCTCATCCACACTGTGGACAACATTCTAACTTTTCAATGTCTATGGAATCTCTATTGCATTCACAATGATAGAAAAGCTGAGAACGGACCTTCTTTGCCTTCTTGTGTGAACAGTGAGTGTCACCAGATCCATTCCTCTTAATGCCACTCATAGCATTGAACTTGTTCTCAGCAATGAATTCTCGAACTCTTTCAATATCCGGTCCTGAGAGTCTCTCCGAGGTCTGCAGCACATCCAGCATCTTGGACAATGTGCACACACTGAAAACACAGACCGTGTTTATGTTGAATCACTGGTACATACACAGGGAGATCTATCACTCCCATCCAATCCATCTATCCATCCAATCCATCCACTCAATCCATCCATCCATACATCCCTCCCTCCCTCCCATCCATCCATCTATCCATCCAATCCCTCCTTCCCATCCATCCATCCCCCTCCCATCCCTCCATCCCTTCCAATCCATCCATCCATCCATGTGACTCACCTTACAGCAAAAACCCATAAACGAACTTTAGACAACACCCAAGTACAGATATGCTAGGACTTCTCAAAAACGAAAACTTTTCAACTCAACACTATCAGTTAAGTTAGGGAGTGAGTGAGTTTAGTTTTATGCCACTTTTAGCAATATTCTAGCAACATCTCGGCAGTGGACACTATAAATGGGCTTCACACATTGTACCCATGTGGGGAATTGAACCCGGGTCTTCAGCGTGACGGGCTTTAACCACTATGCTACCCCGCCGCCCAGACTATCAGTTGAAGCGTTGGCAACATGTTCCTCTCAGTACATATGGTAAAGGGGTTCCTACCTGTGCAGGTGTATTCCCTCGCTCTTCAACATCTGGGCCCCCGCCCTGCTCTCTGTCAAGCAGCACCACAGCATCACGCACATCGATGTCAGCTGTTTTCAACGCCTGGAAGAAAATCACCCTCAGGTTACCATGGTTACACATATTATGCCAGGCAATACATAGACCTATACTTTGGAGTCCAGACCAAATAGAAGAGACAATTTCAAGAACATCCATTCACAAATCCCTAAAAGCTACAGCGAGGACACGAAATCAATATTTTGACAAGCCTAAATCTTGGTGCTGTCAGAGTCTGAAGAGCAGTGCATGGCTTTTAGTCTATAAGATATTGACAAGAAAGATTGCAATATGTTCAACCATTCTCTTTCAAAAACACTCTGGATATGAGCCCATCATAATGTGAGCGAGTTTTCCTCACTTTGAACAGAATGTTAGTCATATGACTCAGACTGTGCAGAAAGCTCAAAGTGATGGAGATCTTACATGGTTGCCACTTTGGTGATACAAAATAATTTGACCGCAAATCAGCTTCGGATGAACATGTCATCAAACACATGATTTCTGGGCCATGTGATCCTCTGCCTTCCCGAAACAGGTGAGCATGACTTGCCCGTAACTCCTACTGAAGCCAGGTCAAGCTCATATAGGCTGTGCCTTAATCCTCACAAACAATTCTACTGTACCTGTGCTGTTTCCAGGACACTGGATCCACTGGTGACAACATCCTCGACAACCAGACAGCGCTCACCGGGCTCATAATGACCTTCTATCATACGCTTGGTCCCATAATCCTTTGCTTCCTTTCTGCGTATCAGCATTGGCATGTGATGCTTGGTTGCAATACACTGAAACAACATGCTGGCATTGTCACGAATATCACAATATAAACTTCCCCAACTTGCTGCTCATTCCATAATGAGGGTCATAAAGAGTGAGTGAGTGAGTGAGTTCAGTTTTATGCCGCTCTCAGCAATATTCCAGCTATATGGCGGTGGTCTGTAAATAATCAATTCTGGACCAGACAATCCAGTGATCAACACCATGAGCATCAATCTGCGCAATTGGGAACCGATGACATATGTCAACCATGCCAGCGAGCCTGACTATCAGATCCCGTTAGTTGCCTCTTACGACAAGCATGGGTTACTGAAGGTTCATTCTAACCCGGACCTTCACGGGTAGAGTGAGTGAGTATGGTTTTACGCAGCTTTTAGTAATATTCCAGCAATATCACGACAGGGATACCAGAAATGGGCTTCACACATTGTGTCCATGTGGGGAATCGAACCCGGTCTTCGGCGTGACGAGCAAATGTTTTAACCACAAGGCGACCCCCTGTTCCGTGTCATATTACTCATAAAGAAGAGACTGAACAAATACTGGTAACTGTTCAACTCTTGTAGTTACCAGAAGATAGATTAACTTGTCTGAAGGGCTGTGTATTGGCAGATACATTGTATTGTAAATTTGTACATATTGCAATATTTTGGGAACTTAAGTGTTTGACTGTGAGATCCTATTTTCTACATAATAAGCTGCTAAAAATATGCGGACAGTCAGGGATTCTATTTTTTTACAACACAATAATAGTATCAAAGTATGCTGTTTTGTCAATGAAAAATGAAGTAGAGCATCAGTTGTCAATGAATGTCTGTGAAGATATTTAATAAAATCATGGAGATGATTAAAGACCTTCATATACCATGCAGTCCTAATTGTCTGACTGTACGACTTCTCACTGAGGCATAAGCTCAGCACCTTCAACACATGGACACTATTTCTTGAAACAGTAAGCTAATCTTGGAAACAGTCAAAGAGTTCTGGAAACAGTCACCAGACCAGGAAACAGGTAGTTTGCCCTGGAAAATGTCAGGTTGTCCTGAAACAGTCAACATGCCCTGGAAACAGTCGGCATGTCCTGGAAACAGTCAACATGTCCTGGAAACAGTCAACATGTCCTGGAAACAGTCGCATGTCCTGGAAACAGTCAACATGTCCTGGAAACAGTCAACATGTCCTGGAAACAGTCGGCATGTCCTGGAAACAGTCGGCATGTCGGCATGTCCTGGAAACAGTCGGCATGTCCTGGAAACAGTCGGCAGTCGGCATGTCCTGGAAACAGTCGGCATGTCCTGGAAACAGTTGGCATATGCTGGAAACAGTCAGCATGTCCGGGAAACAGTGAGACTTACTGTTGCGAGTGGCAGAGCTGTGTAGGGCACTCCACACAGGGACTTGAAGTTGTTGGAGCAGTTCTGACTGGCATCCCACAGGTATTCTGACACTCGTACCTATAACATAAACAGTCACATCTAAATAACACGCTACTTGTCAGTATATATGTCACAGGACACTTACAACATTCTGTGGGGAAAAAATGACAGTTGTCCATGTTGTAGACTAACTTGAGAGAATGAGTCAGTTGGGGTCACATCGCTATTCCAGTTTTATCAGCATGTCTGCGTAAATGTGGAAGAGGGGTAAGTCTTAAGACATTTACCTCTTTGTTGAAAATGCACAAGTGCAGTATGGTGTTACAGTGAATGAGGGAGTTTAGTTTTACACCGCTTTTAGCAATATTCCAGCAATATCACGGCGGGGGACACCAGAAATGGGCTTCACATATTGTACCGATGTGGGGAATCAAACCCCGTGTTTTCAACGTGATGAGCGAACAACGCTTTAACCACTAGGCTTCCCCACCGCCCCTGGCGCTGACAGAGATTTAACCATGGAGAAAACTGGATTAAAACCTACAATCACAGGTTTAGGTGCGCCCAAGGGAAACAACTCTGCACAGCAAACTGCCTCTCATGTGAACCAAATTGGAAGTGTTCATGGAGTTAAAGTGAGCTTATGTACAAAGGGAAACTTCACAGTTTCTACATTCAGACAATATTTTATCCATTAGATAAACTCTTATAAAACAACAACTGATCGCTCTGTCGATTATGTATATATTCAGTGACTTTACATGTAAAAAAATGGCAATCAGTCTCTGTCCAAGTAAAACAAGCAGCCTGAATGCTGTGGATTTATTCCTGATGCACTAGTATAATAGGCTCCAAGCATGTCACCTCCCATCTGACAACCATACACAACAGAGCTCCCTGTCAGGAATAGTAATGTGTGTACTCGCTTCATGCACTCAATCAACTGTCAGGAATAGTAATGTGTGTACTCGCTTCATACACTCAATCAACTGTCAGGAAAACATGTTACAGTGTGGATATTGATGATCACCTCATCATCATACCAATGGTATGTCAGACATGAAAAACATATCATTTTACATAGAAACTAAAACCTGCACACTTCCCCTATTCTAAAAAATCTAATGTATCTCTGGTTTTAAAGAGGTGAAATAAGAGAGTACTAAATATGCTTTAACGTTTGAGATGCCTAAAATAGTACCCCTTTTATGGCAAACAAAATCCCCTAGTGTGGTTATTGTACATTATCATGCCTTTTAGTTTTACAAACATTTTTGTTACTTATCATAGTCACAAATCATTACTTTTATCAACAAAAGGTCTATATTGCAATCAATGGAAATCTGATATAAGTTTTGAAGACCATTTAGCAAAAATTGACGCAAGAAAGGTTTTGTATATCTCTTTCTTGTTTTTTGTTGCTCTTCCCATGAATTATCTATTGAAACTGGCAGGTATGCAGGTATACCAAGAGAAAACAGAATATGTCATGTATGTAACCGTAATACTGTTGAGCATGAATTACATTTCCTTCTAAGGCCTAAAAAAAGAAGTTGTCGTTCCGATTACCCGATCGACCCTAAACTCTGGTGCTGACCCTAATTTTTTAAGCGGTTTAAATAATAAGCTTTTGGATAACATTATTTTTTCCCGGCATCGACGGACATCGGACATTCTGATAGAGAGAATTGACATGATGACCGAAACCTTGATTGAATAAACAATTATACATTGATAGATGTGTTGTTAGTTTTTACTTTACTTCTAAAGAAAATGTTTAAAGGTCACATGCAACCAAAAAATCAAACATAATTAAAACACAATTATCACTTCTTCATGACATATAATATGCATTGCTGATTATGAAAAAACAAATAAACAAAATTATAAGCGTATAATCGCAAATCAAAAGTGCAATATTTTGTACTTTGGTTTACCTCCCTCGAAACGAAGCAGCCGGGATACCGAACCCAGTCAGAGCGGGTGGGTGTGCACTCAAGTGTAACGGATGGTTCATTTGCAGATGCCGCCCTCGCAGCTCATTGTGTGTGTATATATAGAGATGTTGGGTTTTGTAAATACATGCTCATTTTTTGTGTATCACATTTTGCAATCAACAGACATCATAACATGTCATGTGGTCAAGTATCACACCTGCCTGTCTGTGTAATTACATAATGTGACAGAGACCGAACTCGGGCCATAAATCAATGCATTTTGTTTATGGTGTATAGCCTGATTGGTGTTAAGTTCAAATTGCATGTGGTCAGTGATAGCAGCTGTGTATTGAATATTGTCATTAGCAGACAGGCAGGCAGACACATAGGTGTCAATAAAACAAGACATTGAGTTTTGTCTGTGACAACGACATATCTATATCACAGTTAGAAATTCTGTCAACGCTAAATAATGGCATTGCTTTTAAGCATCGAACTGAGAAAGTGACTCGGGTAAGAAAAACGGTGTGGTGAAATTGACAAATGAAATTATATAAACAGTTAATTTACTGTCATAACACATAAAAGCTCGCTACCTGTGAGATATCAACAAAACATTAGAAAAATAGCTCACACCAAAGCCTTCACCGAGTCGCATTCACCAGACAAACTATTTCAAGACGCGTGCTATGAGCGCAGCCCAGCTGTTGAAAACTCCGTTTTCCCCAGAAAAGTCTGGGGAAAATTAGTGAAACGTTTGAACTCCGATTTCGCGCGGTTTTTTTCATCGCGTTATTTTTCAACTTTATAAGTTGAATTTGCATTTTTGACGATTTGTTTCGGTATGTCCATACCGAAAGGTATCAGAATCTGCAAAGTTGTGTTTTACGTTGCATGTGACCTTTAAAAAAATCCTACCTACCTATCCTAAACTTTAAAGAGGTGTAATCGGAACCACAGCTTTTTTTAATTTGGTCTAATCTGTCCTGTTTATATGACTCTATGAACGAAATAGCTACAGCCATACTATTTTAAGCATCCAAGTGTAAGACTTTCATTGTTAACAGATACTAACACATTATCATTACGGAATCGGGTAATGTACATCTATTTTTCTATGAGTTTAAGAAAACAAATTGTTATAGAAAAGAATGTGTAATGACTACAACTACTCGTGTAAATGTTCAATATACTACAGGCCTGTGGCCTTTTAAGTACTGAACAGAGATTGCCTGATTGATAGGGCTGTAACAATGCATCAAACTACCGATGGATTGCAATTGTTGAGTCTCCGATAGCAATTAATCGATGGTAGAAACGAAAAACTATCAATCCGTCGATGGTATGTGTGACTATAGATAGATTAGTAACTAACTTCTGTTGATAAATGCGCAGCGAAAAATACAGGGAGTACCAGATTTTGTCACTTTGATTTAGAGTTAGACAACTCTGTTATCTGTTTAAAAACTTGATCTGGGTTTTCAAGTTTCACTTGTTTATTATTAAAAGACTGAAACTATTTCAGCTTGTATTTTATTTCATATAAACAACACATATCATTTGGGAAATGACTTCAGATGAGACAACTCTATAGGAGTATTGCTATAGTTGGTCAAAAAATATTACAATAGTATTGCTATAGATGGTCACAATAGTATTGCTATAGTTAGTCACAATAGTATTGCTATAGTATGTTGCAATATCACTATCACTATAGCAATAGGTGTTTCACCTCAATTTATATAGTCACAATAGTATTGCTATAGTTTCACCTACTGATTGAGTTATCATAGTCATGTTATTGAACTCCAATTTTGATATCATAGTCATGTTAATGAACTCACCCAAACCCAAATAAAAGATATATGTTTTTTTTGTTTGAATATATATATACCATGTATCGGTACATAGAAATCTAGGCCCATGAATCAATGAATGAAAACTCATTTGTGAGGAATCCTTTCCAGTAATCAATCACTACATGTGTGCAGTTTACCAGAGAAATAACATGTACAATGTTATCAGTGTGTAATATAACACACAATTAGTTATGGTTTCATTACATGTAATGCTGGATACCATCACACTCAGTCTTCTTGTAACCTTCTGGTTCCTTCAGCTGCATATAGTAATGAATTCCAGGGCTCGATTTAGTGCTTGTTACTTGCACTGGTGCAACCCAATATTACAAAATGCAACCTAGTTATTAGTCAATTTTTGAGACGTCAGCTGGAAAACAGGATGATGAGGACCTGACTTGGAAGAGTGACTCTGATGACTGTATGAGCAGTGACTGAAGGAATTACTGTTCATGAAATTTTAAGAAAAAGTAAGATACTAATCTTATCAGTCCCAGATTTCTTTTGTTATAATGTTCTAAACTATCATTACCAAAACTCAAGCATCATATTTTATACAAGATTTTATACTGAGCAGCAGGTGCAACCTGTTTTTATCCGATGCAACAAGGTTTCTACCTAAGGTTGCACTGGGTGCAAGTAGGTTTGATTTCTTAAAATCGAGCCCTGAATTCTTTAAGGAAATATTGATGCCACGCATGAAAAGAGCAAATCAGTGATGTCTTGTCAGCATAATGTAGGAAGAAATCCAAAGGTGCTGCAGTTCTATCAATGATTCATACAATTATGGATTATGGTTCATTTCATGACCATGGTATGGACCCAACATACCAAATCTCACCAAGCTCACAGTTGAACCCACTATCAGAGAAAGTCCTGGTATTTGTAAGGGAAATAACTCTGCACAGAGAACTGTGGAATATCAGACCACTGGCCATTTGTATATCTCATTTCATTTCAGAAAGATATAACTTTTAAAGTGATATATTTAAAAAATTGACATGTAACATCATGGGAAATAAAAGTTCTGTTCTTCTTTCTGATATGAAATGCACTTATGGAAGTTATCAGCAGGCAATCTATTGATGATATGATTTTTTGCTTGATGCTTAAGATCTGATTTAGCATTATTCCAGCTGTATCATGATGGTGACCTGTATCCAATCTAGTCTGGGCCATAAAAGAATTATTAAAATCATGAGGATATAATATTAGGATTTTTATACATCTGGTGATTACATTGCACGTAACTAGTAGCACAAGCATGCTCAACACCCTACCAATGAGATACACTTGTGATGTATTTCATACAAAAAATACCAAAATAAACAAGAAGTAGAACCATAATAACAAAAATGATGGACTCACTACTCTTACTTTATCATGTTTATGATATTGTTTTCTTGGCAATGTATGGCATGATTAGTGACTTGTTAATCTGAAAAAAATATGAGCATTGGAAACTGGTTGCTTCAAATCAAAGGAAACATTTAATATAACTTGTGTCATTATTTTGACTAAAGCCTGATAAAGGTATTTGCACCAGTACTGAAATATTGCATTGAAAGAATACGCTAGAGTTGTTGTAATCCAGTCTTGTCTTCAGCAATTATTGGTATCTAGTTTCAGTCAGTCAGACAAGTGAGTGAGTGAGTTTAGTTTTACGCGCTTTTAGCAATATTCCAGCAATATCACAGCAAGGGACACCAGAAATGGGCATCACACATTGTACCCATGTGGGGAATCGAACCTGAATCTTCAGCGTGACGAGTGAACGTTTTAACCACTAGGCTACCCCATCGCCCTAGTTTCCGTCACGAAAATACAAATTAAAACTGAAAAGAATGATTAAAAGAATATAAATGTGTAGCAACTATAACTTGGAAAAGTGAAAGAAATCCTAAATACTGTGACATAAAAAAACAAAATGGTGATGTAACTTGAAAGCCTGCACATTTTGATTAGCCACTGCATGCACTACCAAAATAAGGCAAGATCTAAATATCATTAAAAAGGGGTGAATTTTCAATTATCCATTACACAATTTCTCAACTGAGTGTTACTTCAAACAAGAACTTTGTTCAAACAAACATCAGATTTGAAATCAACTGAGCTAAACTGCATAGCAAATGATTGATATGGTTGCTCCAAATATATAATCAGGAAGTATTCAAAATATTCACGAAACACAAATCAGAAAAACAGCTTTTCATACGGGTCACTGGTAAAAACGTTATTAGTGACAACAGTATTTGCCTTCGAGGTCCCAACTGTGTTTGTTTGACATGTTTCAGGCTAAAGCAAAATGGAGACCGGCTTTACACAAGTGTTTACACAAGCGATGGCACTGGAAATGAACAAATCGTTTTACAATTTTCTCTGACCGTCACTAACACTTGTCGTAAAATGCAAATCACACACAAAAGACCCCACAAAAAACATAATTCCCTGGTGTTAAAACAGGAAAAAGACATGTTCTAGATGATTGCGTTCAGCATTTGCACCGGGTGCCCCCAGTCTCATTCTGAGAACAACCAACTCGAACTCCTTTGTTTGGTTAGGCTTGAAACACCGCTTAAACAAATCAGTCGTCAAACAGAAAACTTTTAAGCAATGTATTAACAACTGTAGATGTAAGAAAAATAAATATTATTTGAAAATGCAACTTAATGCACCCCTGCAAAGGAAACGAATCGCAAACATTCGATTGACCCGAAAGCGAGACAAGCTCGGATAGGGGTCCAATTCAGAACCTTACCAGGATTTCTGGATAGGATACAATCACCCGCAAATCGATGTAAACGGGAGATTCGATACCGCTCTTCAATTTGAATGTTCCAAATTTCACAGCTTGCACATCGTAAAGGCGTATAATCAAATCTTCGAGGCTCATCCGCATGTTGTTCATGGGCGCAGCCATAGTGGATTTTCTCGCCACCTGCAGGAAATTGCTCAAAGGGGAGACAACTCGGAATAGAACCGCTCCCGCAAAGCACTGCGTGACACGAGTTGTTCAGTCAGTCAAGTGCGAACCATGACGATCCGACATCTGCCTACCAACAACCTTACTGGCACAATAGTAGACCTTTGTAATAGCTCAGATGTAGCAAGAAGACAAACGGATGCATAGAGAAGCCTACAATTATAGATACAAGCGCATAAATTAAAGTTTAAACCGCTTCACTGGCCAGAGATAAGGAGTGGGTTAACCAGAAAAGGACCAATCATATTAAATGATCTTTTATCATTAGTTTGATGTATTACATGCAAATCTATCGGTAATGGCTACGTATAAGTTTGTTTTGCAGTGTTATGGATGTCGCGAATCTAGTAATTGCTGAATAATTGCTGTCGAGTCTGTATGATGAACTGTGCAGTGTATGTGAAATATACTGATGTCAGCCTGAGTGCGTTGTGAGTCGAGAAGGGTGAGTACGGTGCAGAGAGCAGAGGTTAGCACACGCTACATGCGCGCGTCTCATCCCCCCAACCCCACCACCCCTCCCATCACCTCCTTCTTTTCTTAAGGTACATAAAAGGCTATCAACCCTGGAAGGATCAATTTCGGCCCTTGGAAAATATAATCTCCTAACAAAATCAAGCAGTTTATTTGCACGTATAGCGGAGCTCACTGCACCGGGACATTGATCATGGCCTCGAACTTCTATCAGCATTATTAACAGAGGCGATGGAGATTAAAGAATCATACCAACAAACGCCCACAGGAGCAACAAACGTTAAAGCATTTGGTTATATTTAATCTGGAATCTGTCATCATGTAGTATCCTTTTGTTTCTCTTCACGGATTTTCAAACACAATGGCGTAGCGCTCCCTTGCACTCCGACAAAAGCCGAGTGCATGCCCTACAAATATTCATAATTGATAATCTCATTATCATGACGTCATCTTGTCGCGAACTAATTGGAATGCTTATATCATGAAACGTTATAGATATTAAGTCGACCATGCATTTAGCAAAGCATCCGTGATTGTGTAAAAAGATAATTTGGAAGAGCTATTTAAACTGCCACGAGGTTGTTTTTCAAAAGTCTACCCACCCTGTTACAAATATTGTTATAAACGCATGGGAATCTATGTATTGATAAATAAACACCCGCCTTTGTGTTGTGTCTTCAATCAACTTAAAGTTATACACCTATCCGAACCATATGTTAGAACTGATATTAAATCTCAACAAAAGTGCAAAACGTGCTGCCTGCTAAACAAAACTCTTGAATATAGGCTTCAAAGGAATTATTCCTTCTGCTATGTAGGTTAAAGAGGAGATAGTCCAGCACAAACACCTACTTAAGTAATGTCGGAGTCTACCCACGCAAGCCATGAAGGCTGAATCACCAGTGCACATTAACGACTAAGTGCGCGGTTATCAGTACTCATCGATGTGTGCACTGCTTGTTTAAATCAATACGTGTCTTCGGTTGTGTGACAGCAGGAAGACTTGTATCAATGACATCCCACACAGGCACACCACGTTAAGCTCTGTACATGATCTTTGGCTGTGTGTCTTGTATCAATGACATCCCACACAGGTACACCGCGTTAAGCTCTGTACATGATCTTTGGCTGTGTGTCTTGTATCAATGACATCCCACACAGGTACATCAAGTTTAAACTCTGTATCTGATCTTTGGCTCTGTTTCTTGTATGAATGACGTCCCACACAGGCACATCAAGTTTAAACTCTGTATATGATCTTTGGCTGTGTTTCTTGTATCATTGACATCCCACACAGGTACACCGCGTTAAGCTCTGTATCTGATCTTTGGCTGTGTGTCTTGTATCAATGACATCCCACACAGGCACATCAAGTTCAAACTCTGTATCTGATCTTTGGCTGTGTTTCTTGTATCAATGACATCCCACACAGGTACATCAAGTTCAAACTCTGTATCTGATCTTTGACTGTGTGTCTTGTATCAATGACGTCCCACACAGGCACATCAAGATTAAACTCTGTATATGATCTTTGGCTGTGTGTCTTGTACCAATGACATCCCACACAGGTACATCAAGTATAAACTCTGTATATGATCTTTGGCTGTGTGTCTTGTACCAATGACATCCCACACAGGCACATCAAGTTTAAACTCTGTATCTGATCTTTGGCTGTGTTTCTTGTATCAATGACGTCCCACACAGGTACATCAAGTTTAAATTCTGTATATGATCTTTGGCTGTGTGTCTTGTATCAATGACATCCCACACAGGCACATCAAGTTTAAACTCTGTATCTGATCTTTGGCTGTGTTTCTTGTATCATTGACATCCCACACAGGTACACCGCGTTAAGCTCTGTATCTGATCTTTGGCTGTGTGTCTTGTATCAATGACGTCCCACACAGGCACATCAAGTATAAACTCTGTATCTGATCTTTGACTGTGTGTCTTGTATCAATGACACCCCACACAGGTACATCAAGTTATAAACTCTGTATCTGATCTTTGACTGTGTGTCTTGTGGCTGTGACATCTTGTATCAATGACATCCCAACACACAGGTACTTCACATCAATGACATGTACATGTATTCAATGACATCAGTTTATACTCTGTATCTGATCTTTGGCTGTGTTTCTTGTATCAATGACATCCCACACAGGTACATCAAGTTTAAACTCTGTATCTGATCTTTGGCTGTGTTTCTTGTATCAATGACATCCCACACAGGCACATCAAGTATAAACTCTGTATCTGATGTTTGGCTGTGTGTCTTGTACCAATGACGTCCCACACAGGCACATCAAGTATAAACTCTGTATCTGATCTTTGGCTGTGTGTCTTGTACCAATGACATCCCACACAGGTACATCAAGTTTAAACTCTGTATCTGATCTTTGGCTGTGTGTCTTGTATGAATGACATCCCACACAGGTACATCAAGTTTAAACTCTGTATCTGATCTTTGGCTGTGTGTCTTGTATCAATGACGTCCCACACAGGTACATCAATTATCAACTCTGTATCTGATCTTTGGCTGTGTGTCTTGTATCAATGACACCCCAGACAGGTACATCAAGTTTAAACTCTGTATCTGATCTTTGGCTGTGTGTCTTGTACCAATGACATCCCACACAGGTACATCAAGTTTAAACTCTGTATCTGATCTTTGGCTGTGTGTCTTGTATGAATGACATCCCACACAGGTACATCAAGTTTAAGCTCTGTATCTGATCTTTGGCTGTGTGTCTTGTATCAATGACGTCCCACACAGGTACATCAATTATAAACTCTGTATCTGATCTTTGGCTGTGTGTCTTGTATCAATGACACCCCAGACAGGTACATCAAGTTTAAACTCTGTATCTGATCTTTGGCTGTGTATCTTGTATCAATGACACCCCAGACAGGTACATCAAGTTTAAACTCTGTATCTGATCTTTGGCTGTGTTTCTTGTATCAATGACGTCCCACACAGGTACATCAAGTATAAACTCTGTATCTGATCTTTGACTGTGTGTCTTGTATCAATGACGTCCCAGACAGGTACATCAAGTATAAACTCTGTATCTGATCTTTGGCTGTGTTTCTTGTATCAATGACGTCCCACACAGGTACATCAAGTATAAACTCTGTATCTGATCTTTGGCTGTGTGTCTTGTACCAATGACGTCCCACACAGGCACATCAAGTATAAACTCTGTATCTGATCTTTGGCTGTGTGTCTTGTACCAATGACATCCCACACAGGTACATCAAGTTTAAACTCTGTATCTGATCTTTGGCTGTGTGTCTTGTATGAATGACATCCCACACAGGTACATCAAGTTTAAACTCTGTATATGATCTTTGGCTGTGTGTCTTGTGTCAATGACGTCCCACACAGGTACATCAATTATCAACTCTGTATCTGATCTTTGGCTGTGTGTCTTGTATCAATGACACCCCAGACAGGTACATCAAGTTTAAACTCTGTATCTGATCTTTGGCTGTGTGTCTTGTACCAATGACATCCCACACAGGTACATCAAGTTTAAACTCTGTATCTGATCTTTGGCTGTGTGTCTTGTATGAATGACATCCCACACAGGTACATCAAGTTTAAGCTCTGTATCTGATCTTTGGCTGTGTGTCTTGTATCAATGACGTCCCACACAGGTACATCAATTATCAACTCTGTATCTGATCTTTGGCTGTGTGTCTTGTATCAATGACACCCCAGACAGGTACATCAAGTTTAAACTCTGTATCTGATCTTTGGCTGTGTATCTTGTATCAATGACACCCCAGACAGGTACATCAAGTTTAAACTCTGTATCTGATCTTTGGCTGTGTGTCTTGTATCAATGACACCCCAGACAGGTACATCAAGTTTATACTCTGTATCTGATCTTTGGCTGTGTGTCTTGTATCAATGACACCCCAGACAGGTACATCAAGTTTAAACTCTGTATCTGATCTTTGGCTGTGTTTCTTGTATCAATGACGTCCCACACAGGTACATCAAGTATAAACTCTGCATCTGATCTTCGACTGTGTGTCTTGTATCAATGACGTCCCACACAGGTACATCAAGTATAAACTCTGTATCTGATCTTTGGCTGTGTTTCTTGTAGCAATGACGTCCCACACAGGTACATCAAGTATAAACTCTGTATCTGATCTTTGGCTGTGTGTCTTGTACCAATGACATCCCACACAGGTACATCAAGTTTAAACTCTGTATCTGATCTTTGGCTGTGTGTCTTGTATCAATGACATCCCACACAGGTACATCAAGTTTAAACTCTGTATATGATCTTTGGCTGTGTTTCTTGTATCAATGACACCCTAGACAGGTACATCAAGTATAAACTCTGTATCTGATCTTTGGCTGTGTTTCTTGTATCAATGACACCTCAGACAGGTACATCAAGTTTAAACTCTGTATCTGATCTTTGGCTGTGTTTCTTGTATCAATGACATCCCACACAGGTACATCAAGTTTAAGCTCTGTATCTGATCTTTGGCTGTGTGTCTTGTACCAATGACATCCCACACAGGCACATCAAGTATAAACTCTGTATCTGATCTTTGGCTGTGTTTCTTGTATCAATGACACCCCA